GCGGCCGATGGCATCCTCTTTACCAGTACCGGCGACCTCCCCGCCGAAGGCCGGATAGCTCAGCTCGATCGGCAGGTGCGTGTGTGTGTGTGTGTGTGTGTCTGTGCTCTTGTGCCGCGCGCACTTCTGTGTAACTCTTCCCCCTTGTCCTTTCCCTGTGATCCCTGCTCGCCGCCTCCGTCTAACCCAACTGAGGGCGGCGGGCTGCCACCCTGACAGACTCTCGCTCGGGCAATGGCGCTCCTTCGGCAGCGCGAGGCTGACCTGGCCCGCCGCGAGGGTGCCACTCGGACTAAGCTCCTGCATCTCCTACCGAAACTCACCCAGTGCGCACAGCCCCTTCGCTTCTCCCGCTCCCCCCCCCCTCCCCTCTTCTTCCCCTCCAGGGGCCATATGAATGTGCTGACGTGCTGCGAATCTCTGCCATCTGAACCACGCCTCTGGCGGTGCGGGGGGGGGGGGGGGGGGGCTGGAATGAAATCCAATGATCGCGTCTATTGTGTATCAGAGCGGCCGAGAAGGCCGGGCGGAATGCCACGACCATAGAAACCGACACCGTCGGGCCGCCATCCAAAGGAAGGTAGCCCACATGCATGTGCATTTGCGCGTGGTCATGTGTGCGCACGTCACCCGCCGACCCGGTGTGCCTCGTCCAGGACAGGAACTACCCCGCCATGGCCGCTACCACTGCGATCGTGGCAGTCACTCCGATGGAATGATGCTCCGCAGGGATCCAGCCACATTCTGGTTGATGCCCTCGGCGCTGGGGGTATGCCGGGCATGGACCAGGCGCGAAATGAAGGACGACGTGGGCACCCAGTCCGCATGTGCCGGGATGGTGGGGCTATTGTACACGCAAGCCACATTCACCTCCGGGCCGTATGACAGCCCGGTCAGGAGCTTGGGTGTGACTACGAAGCATCTTTTTTTTTTTTTTTCATCCCGTCATGGAAGTGCGGACAGTTGGTCAGATGAAAATACACACACACACACACATACAATCCGGCAAATGGGGAGCAGGGAACAAAAGAAATGCGGCGCAAGTTGACACCCGTGAACGCACTGCGAGGAATTGGTTGCCTTGGACACGCTGACGATGATGTCGTGCACGGCCCGCTCGTTGCGCGAGTCCATGCCCTGGTTGATCTCATCGACCACCCGGAAAGGAGCGGACGCAATCTCCTGCAAAGCCATCAAGTAGAGAATCGTGATGACGGCACGCTCCTGAGCGAAACACCACGCCCGGGGGGGGTTGTAATGCAAAGGGTCAGCAAAGTGAGCGTACAAACACCACCACCACCACCACCACCACCACCACACACCCATGCACACAAACGCAGAGGAAACCCCCCACAAAGCAGGGAATGAAAACGCACACCGCCAGACTGCTGCTTCTCCTTGAGAACCTCGAGGCTGCCAGAGGTGTGGAATTGCACGCGAATGACAATGCGCCACTGGTCGTACTTGCCGTCAACACGCTCGAGCACGCATTCGCCGACATTCCCGAGATCTGGCCAAAGGAGGAGCAGGGTCAGCTGATTGTGACATCCGCCACGGGGGGGGGGGGGGGGGCAAGAAAGAACAGGCGGCCGGCGAAAGACGAGCGTACGGGACATGAACCGCGAGAAGTTGACATTCACCCGCTGAGTAACCTCCTCCAAGCGTGCCACCCAGGCGGCCTCATCGGTGGCAATGCTGGCGGCCAAGCGCTGGCGCTCTTCCATCTTCAGCATGCGACGCTCATTTAGCTGCTCGACCGTGTGCTGAGTCCGCTCAAATTCCTCCAGACTCGACTCGCCATCGGCCACCCGGAACTGGTCCATCTGCTGGATGGCCTCTTCGAGCTCCAATTGGAGGGCCTGGCGGAGTTGCGCCGGATTGGCGTCGATCTACATCCAGCGCGGCAGACAGGAGGTTAGTTTCAGGAGGGGCGAGATATCGAGCAGCCACGAGCCAGATGGCAGGGGGTGCTGGGGCGCTGGGGAGGGGACATACGGTGGAAATGTCCGCCGGGACGATTTGCGCGGTGCCACTCATCTGGGTGAACTCCTGCGAGAGGGCGATCATCTGGCCTTCGATTTCGTCCTTGCGCTCGCGCACTGTGTAGCACGAGCGACAGGGAGAGGGGGGCAGGAGAAGAGCACCGGGGAGAGTAGCGGAGGGGGCAGCAAGAAAACGACAGACAAACAACGAGAAGGTGGAGAGTCAGGGCGGGTCCGACAGAAAACCGGGACATCCCGGAAGAGGAAGTGCCAGGGCCAAGGCAGGTGGTCGGAAGGGGGGGGGGGGGGGAGGGGGGGCACGCACAGACGGCTACATCAGAGGCAATCGTGTCGATCTGTCGCTGAGCGGCATTCACCTCGGGCTGGATCTGCCGGATGTTGTCATCCTGGAAGCTGGCCCAGAGCTGGTAGCGAATGAGGAAGTTCTGTGCCTCACGGAAGAGCTTCATGTATTTCTGCGCATGTGTGTTGGCCCATGTGCATGTGCATGTGCACATGTACAGGCCCGGAGACGGGATTCAAGAAGGGTGGAAGAGTGGAGGACGCAGGGTCAGGAACAGAGCGAAGAAACCGCAAAGACCCCCGCGAAGGGCTCCGCCACCAAGGGGGGGGGGGGGGGGGGGCCAAAGGCAAGGCAAGCCAGACACGCACATTGAACTTGTTGACGATCAGCAGATGGGAACTCATGCTATTCTTCACGCGATCTTGACACTGGGCCAGGCGAGCGTTCATCGACTGGGTAAATTGATCGCTGGAAATCTGCTCGCGCTCAGCGAGGCATTTTTCTTCGCGGCATCGAGAAGACCGGGCCATAAGGGACCATGAGGGGGGAAAGGCTGGGTGTGAGCTTGTGCATGCGTGTGCGCGCGTGGCCACCGAAAAGGAGGGTGGCCTGCCGCTGGCGAGTCGCAGGGAGACGCAGGAAAGAGGACAAACGCACGGATCTCCTGCTGGATGAGCTGCTGCATCTCCTGCGACCGGCGCTGGGCACTGGCATAGGAGCTCAATGTGGAGGCCTGTGTCCGAACAGTGTTCTCCTCCTCCAGAAGACGCTGCAACTGCGCGGCATTCTCGGCAGCCGAGCGTTGCACCGTCTCAAGCATCTGCGAAAAGTCCTGCGGCGGGTCTGCCATGCCCAAGGGCACATGGCAAGCCGGTGGGCACGCAGAAAGAGAGACCGTCAGCAAGTGGCTCGATTTCGTTCGGCCAGGAGAAAATGGCCCTGCGACCGAGGCCCCCCTTTGACAGGCCACACAGAGACACGAAGGGAGGCCGGCGGGGAACATGTATGCATCGTACCGTAACGCATGTAACGTGGCTCACGGAGTGGCAAGGACGACACACCCACTGGCATGTTGGAGCCGGAGTAGTTTGAAAAGAAGGGCCGATTGATGGATGAGTTGGTGGCCCAGCTGTGGAGGCTGAGCCGCATGGCGCTAACCGTATCGACATTGCCATGGGAGATGGCCTTCCGGCGGCGGGCGCAAGCGTGGAGGGGGGGGGAGGCAGGAGAGAGAGAGAGAGAGAGAGAGAGTCAGGCACAGGCAGGGCAATCGAAGGAAAGGAGACCATTTTAGGGCAGGAAGAGGGCGAGAGAGAGAGAGAGAGATAGAAACAAAAAGAACACAGGGAGCAAGAAAGAAGCAGACGGAAGCCATGTCTGGGTGCCAACTTGGACGCACAATCCGGTGAAACTCCAGCGAGTCACAGAGGACAAACTTCACCAAGTCCGGCGCATCAATCACATCGATGGCCAGGCAGGTGAATCCATGCCGGCGAAGGACGTCCGGCGGGTAGGGGGCATTGAATTGCCCGGCCGGACGGTTTTCCGGCACCTGGATAATGTTGACGCTCTTTCCAGCGGACATGCGCTTGACCAGGGCAAAGTCATCAGGATGTGAGACGATGATGGCCTTTGTGGTCAGGAGGAGAGAGAGAGAGAGAGAGAGAGAGGAACAGAGGAACAGAGGGACAGAGACAGCGAGATCGAACGACCGGGGAAAGACACGTCAGTAAGCAAATCAAACGGCAAACAGGGACCAAGTATATCAGAGGCGCGCCAACAGAGGCAGGACAAGGCAGGGCGGTGTACCATGTTCAACCGGACAGGGATCAACATTTCGATGATCTTCTCGAAGCCCGGCTGCCGGAGAGTCAGCTCCAAGCCCACCGGCCCGGCGAAGTCGCCCTTGAACTTGTCCCGATTGGCCTTGGCCCACTCATAGACACCGAAGACATCCTGGAAGATGGCCACTTCGCGGAAGAGGCGCTGCCGGTCGCGCAAAGGCTGGCCAGCACTGCGGCCAGCAACAGAGGCACCGGGGGGGGAGGGGGGGGGGGGGGGCAAAACAAAAGGGAAAACAAAACAACAGGGTTAGCATGCGGCGATTCGGCACACGCGTCCGCCCGAGCGAAAGACAGGCATTCCCAGCACAACCCCGGCAACGGACCGCTGGCTCAGCTCCTCTTGCTGGTTGGCCAACTGCCGACCAGCAATCTGTAGCCGGCTAATTTCCATCTGCAGCGCCTGGATGCGGGATTCCGGCGTGACCCCGGCCTGATGGCCCAATTGCCGGATCTTCTCGGCGACCGTGGCCTGGGCATCAACCTGGACCTGGTACTCGGCCTGCAGGGATTCGATGCGCCGGGTGAGGCCAGCCGCCTTTTCCTGGGTCTGGGACATCTCCTTGCGCAGGCGGATGAACTCGGCGATGGCCTCGTTGATGTCGCGCGACCGAGCATCCACGCTGTGCGTCAAGCGGCCGAGCTTTTCCCGGATCTGCACGATGTTATTTTGCCCGCGTGACAGGTGCGCCGCAACGCGCTCCTTGTTGGTTTGGAATTCACTGCCGCCCAACCGCACCGAGCCCACGATGAAAGAAGCGCCGGAGAAATGGAGGGAGGGGGGGGGGCGAAGGCCACGTGTGAGAAGCGGTCCTGCCCTCCGCAGAGGGAGAGCGACAGAGGGGGAGAGAGAGAGAGAGAAAGGAAAGAACACTCGGAGGGACGCAAGCTTACCCCACCCGCCGGCCGATGTCGTCCATGTGTCGGCGTGCTGAGAAGAGTGACGCCTCTCGATCAGTCACTCGACCGAGGATCTCCTGCAAGTCGATCTTGAGCTCGGCGATGCGACTATAGAAGATCAGTGCCTCCAGTCGATGCCGGACCTGGCGCTTCTCCAAATAGAGCCGGTACTGCTCGACGATCGGTGAAAGACTGCTCCGCAGAGACTCCAGCTGCAGATGCCGAGAGTTCAGCTGCTCCAGCTCCTGGTCAAGGGTCAGGAGCAGACGGCTGCCTTGAATGAGAGCCAGGTGGGGGGCATGAAGACCGGCCGGCGAGACGGCCCGCTCTGTTTCCAGCAGGATTTCCTCCGGCGTAAGCCGGACAAACTCGCCGACTTTCTCCTGGGGGAGGAATTGGCTGGAATCCAGGCGGTGAAGAGAATGGGACCGACAAAGCGAGGGCCGAAACGAGGAAACAAAGGGAGTCAATAATGATGATGGTGATGATGATGATGGTGATGATGATGATGGTGATGATGATGATGATGATGATGATGATGATGATGATGATGATGATGATGATGATGGCCATGGTGGTGAGAGGAGGGGAACAGGAGTGCAGAACACCAGCCAGCCCGAGGCAAACAGCCTGGTAGACGCACAGCAGGCTGTCAATGTGGATGCGAAAGCGTCCGATGAATTTGAAGAAGGTACGCTCGGGGATGTGGACGCCATCGATGAAGTACTCGCTGCGGTTATCCTGGCTGAAGGTCCGGCAAATGGTGACAAAGGGCTGGCCAAGCACATTGGCAATTGCCTGGGTGGCATCGGTGACAGCCGGGGGATTGCCCTCGGCATTCGAGTTCGGCACCGGGCCACGCAAGATCAACACCACGAAGCTCGTCTCGGAGGCCGGCGTGCCATTACGGATGAAGTCTCGGACTTCCTTGGCCCGGCCGAGGAGCTTTCACACGCGAGGCCCACGGCAGCAGGAGCCGGGAACGCGACGGCCAGGCGTCGTCAGCGAAGCGTGGCCAAGAGGAGCCCATAAAGCAAGGAGGAGGCAGCCAGAAAAGAGAAAAAGAGTGTCCACATACCGAGGGGCTGCCGCCGGCTGCCAAGCAGATGGCGCAGGTGATGGTACTTTTGCCAGCGCCATTGGGCCCGACGATCATGTTCATATACGGCCCCGGGGTGTACACCACATGCCGATAGGTGATGAAGTTCTGGCAGATGACCCGCAGAATGGACCCAGGCTTGTAGGGGCTGGTGATGTCGGTGGTGGCTGTCAGAAATCGGGAAGCAGGGAAGGGGCCAGCCGGAGCCATCGTCGAAGGCAGGGGCGGGGGGAGGGCAAAGTCATCGCAGAGTGCATGGGTACCGGAGGAAGTTCTCATCCAGATCGGCCACATAGTCCAAGTGCGCGGTGAGATGTTGCTGGCTCTGTCGCAAGGGGGTCGGCTGTTGGACTGGCCGCTGTGCGGCCTGCCGGTGGGGTCGCATCTTGGCACAGCACCAGGGTCAAGGGTGCGGAGCGACCTTGGGCCGGAGAGAGGCAGCCAAAGGTGGCAGGGCGGCAAGCGGGAAAGTGAAGGGGGGAGGGGGGAGGGGAGGAGGGACGAGCGAATGTGCCGGTCGGTTGTCGGAAAGGCTGGGGGGGGGGGGGCGCAATCGAAGAGAGAGAGCGAGACCGAAGGACAGCGGCCACGTGGAAAGGGGGGCCCAAGGACGGGCGGGGGCGCGTGGGAACGGCCGCGGTGAACCGCCCTGCGGAACATATTCGAGAACAACTGTGCCGGCCGCCCGGGGGGCAGCCCAGTGCAAAAGCAACACATCCAAAGGGGAGAGGGGGGGGGGGGCGAAGCTGACTACCGACCGCCGCCATGAAACCCGAAGATGATCGTGCCTCTTGGGGAGGGCGGGAATCCGCCGCACACCGAGCATCGCCCGGCTCCCGCACATCGCGCCTGGCTAGCGTGTGCTTTGGCTCCACCACCAACGGGCGCCAGGCGCAAACAGAGGGCGCGCGTTGGCAGCATAACGACCGGCGCGCCACCCCCGCGATCCGGTGGCATCTGGGACCACGCGCGCCAGCTGCCCGCGATGCGTCCGTCCGGTGGCACGTGTCGCCGATGGCTTGGCCCGCGATGGACACGCATGCCCGTCGCGCACATGCCTTGTGACCCGCGGGCCGAGAGCCGAGGGACGGGGGGGGGGGGGGGGGGGGGGGGGGGGAGGCGAGCGGGGATCGATCGCGGGAGGGCCTTTTTCCCAGGCCACCACTAAACCCCCCCCAACGGCGAGGCCTGGTAGACCACTTCCCCAGCCACTCCCTCTCCCCATCCTTCCTCCTGGCTGGCTCTCCTCTTGCTTGTCTGTCGAAATGCTCAACATTGTCCGTCAGGGCTCCCACCGGGCCGCCATGGCCGGGTCGCTGCTGCGCTCGGTGCCGGCCATCGCCAACGCCGCCACCTCGGCGGCCGTGCCGCGCCGTGTTCCCGGCGCTGGCCCCGCCCCGGCGGCCTCGATCACCAGCAGTGCCTCTCTCCGTGTGTCTCTCACCCTGCCCCCTCCGCTCCTCCGCTCCCCCGTTCCTCCGCCCAGTCATGACTTCCTCCCTGTGCTGAACACCCCCGTGCTCGGAACTAATTCCCTTGTCCGTTCGCTCGCCGGGACGCCTCCCGGCTTCCAGCCGTGCCCCAGCCCCTCCTGAGCCCCTGGATCGTGGCCGCCGGCAAGCGCCGGAGCCAGGTGGCCGACTACTTCTATCAGTCGCGCCAGCCCGGAACCGACAAGGCCATCATTGTTTTCTATGGCTCCTCGCTCATGCACAGCGCGGGGCCGGTTTTCCATCCCTTCTCCCAGGATCCCACCTTCCTCTACCTGACCGGCATGTTTGCGCCGGATTGTCTGGTGGCACTGGAGGTGGATTTCACCCAGGAGGGCAAGCTCACCTCCACGGCCTTCATGCCGCCGCGTGACAGCCACAGGTGCGCATCCTTCCCCCTGGTCCCCTTTTTTTTTCCTTGGGGCCAGCCTCTTGGCCGGCGTGGCCGTCTTCCCGGCCGGGCCCATGTCGCCGGGTGCCGGCAGCCCGGCCTTCCGGTACTGACCCTGCCCTGCCGGGCATCCCTTCGGCAAACAGCACCCTCTGGGAGGGCGAGCGCATTGGTTTGGAGGGCGCGCGCGAGGATTATGGCTTCGATCAGGCCCTCCCCGTGACGGAGTTCATCCCGTACATGACCCGGCTGCTGTCTGACGCCCCGGGCGGGCTCAAGTCCCTCATGCTGTACATGCAGCAGCCGGACCATGCCGGCGGTGCCGGGTCCCCGCAGGCCAAGAACTACGAGCTGGTGTCGAGCCTGCTCTTGTCCCTGGAGACGAAGTTCTCGCCGGCGCCGCAATTCTTCAATGTTTCGCCGGCCATCGAGCGTCTGCGTGTCAACAAGGATCCCCTGGAGCGGACCCTGATCGAGGAGGCGTGCTTCATCGGCGGGGCGGCCATGCGGGACGTCATGAAATTCGGTGCGGATCGCCTGCGCGCTGGTCGGCCTCTGTATGAGCGCCACCTGGCCACGCAGATGCTTCACTCGGCGGCCCTCAATGGCGGCGAGACCCTGTCCTATGTGCCGGTGGTCGCGGCCAATGGCCGGTCGTGCGTCATCCACAATGTGCGCAATGACCAGCCTCTCAAGGACACCGACATGGTGCTCATGGATGCCGGCGCCTTCTTTGGCGGCTACCGGTCGGACATCACCCGCACCTGGCCCGTGGGTGGGCGCTTTGTCCGGGGCTCTCCGCAGTTGGACGTCTACCAGGCGGTGCTGGAGGTCCAGGAGAAGGTCATCGAGGTACGGGGACTCTCTCTCTCTCGCCCTTCCTCCTTGGCGCTGCGCGTCCTCCTTCCCTGTGTCCTTGCTTCGGGCAAGGGCGAGAGGACGCGGCAGAGGCTTGCATCGGCTTCTCTTTTGCCTTCATGACATGTTTTAATGACAAGGACACGTCTCCCTGTGCAGTCCATCTCCCCCGGCATGAAGATGCGTGATCTCCTGGAAACCTCGACCACGCTGCTGTCCGAGCAGCTGGTGCAGCTGGGCATCTCGCCTCGGCACATTGACCAGGTGTGTTTTCCTCCTGCCTGGCAGCCACTGCCCCGCCTATTCCCCTGTCTGGATGTGCCCACTGACTTCCTTCGGCCTTCTTTCCCCCCCGCCCCGCCCTCCTGCCCTCCGCTCCTGCAGTACTATCCCCATGATATTGGCCACTTCCTGGGCCTCGATCTGCACGACACCCCCAAGTACCAGCATCTGCCGCTGCAGCCGGGCATGTGTCTGACCATCGAGCCGGGCCTTTACTTCCGCGACGATGACCACACCGTGCCTGAGGCGTACGTGCAGGAGCCCGCCACGCGCTCCTTTGGCGGTGCTTTTTTCCCCGCCACCGACACCTGCGAGAGCATCTCCACTTCTTCACCTTCCCTTTCCTCCTTTTCATGCACGTATGCTCACATCTGCACACACACACACACACACACACACACACACATACACACACACACATCAGCTTCCGCGGTATCGGCGTCCGCATCGAGGACAACATCTTCCTGGATGAGGTCGACCAGTCGACACAGGACTTCACCGTGACCAACCTGACCGCGGGTGTCCCCAAGCGCGTGGAGGATATTGAGCGCCACATCGCCGAGGGTGTCTACTCGTATGACGAGCCCATCGATACGGACGCCTGTTCGCTCTGAGTATTGGCACGCGCGCCTCCTTCGCCGAACGAGAGGGCGAGACACACCGTTGCCGCGGCCGCGCCCCCGGCCCCCGGCCCCCGGCTCCGACCGTGTTACCCCGCAGGGCAGCCGTCTCTCGGCGACCCGTGGCCCAACCCCAGCCCTTGACACAATAGACTGCCCTCCGCTTGCCCCCCTCCCCCTTCTCCTGGGGAGAGACCCCCCCAGAGCGAAAGAAAATGAAAGAGAGCACACAGGGGACCAGGAAAAGGCGCACTTCTCCCGCCCCCCTCTGCCGGGGGACGGGGCGGCAAAAGAGAACATGTGGAGCAATGGAGGATTGAACTCCAGACCCCCCGCATGCGAAGCGGGTGCTCTACCACTGAGCTATTACCCCGACCACATGGACACCGGGGGCGCCTCGGCGCTACTTGATGATTTTTTGTTGCCAGGCCGGCGACGAGACCGAGGAAGTTTGCACACCACACCGGCAGGAAGCATGAAAAAGACCGGAAGAAAAAGGCCAACATCATCTGTTGCACGGAGAGCGGGCCCCCCGCCCCCTGCGCCGGGGTGTACGTCCTGCCCGATCCTGCCGCCAGCCTTCCCCCTCTCGCTCCTCGCCCCCCCCCCCGACCTCGGCGGGGACGGGCCCGGATGCTCCCGCCCAACAAAAAGAATGGAGCAATGGAGGATTGAACTCCAGACCCCCCGCATGCGAAGCGGGTGCTCTACCACTGAGCTATTACCCCGA